TGGCTGAATGAACACTAAATATAATTAACAACGTAATTTTTAGCTGGCCAAGTTTAATTATACCAAAATCACATGGTAAAACTGGGACCTTTTGATAGGTACTTTTGAAAAGTAACTATCGATGGAAAAAGAATATCTACCTTGTGAGCCCGCTGTGAGCATTAAATGAGATGATGCATGTAGTGTGCCCAACACAGGCCTGGAACCAGGAGGCCCTCCAACGCAGTGCGCTGCCATTGTGTTATCATTGTCCTTGTGTGTCATTTCACTCATCTTACTGTCGTTAGCAACGTTACAAATGGAGCCTGCTTCTGTGTGGGTTTCCCATCATATGGCCCACTGCTGACAAGTTCTAGAATATTCTAATCTGATCTGGACTATTTAGCTTATGTATCTGCATAGGGATCTACCAAAACCAAAATAACACACCATTTGAGCAATAGTTCACAGATATAAAGCACTTCCATGGTCATTATTTCATCAATACTTACAGAGTACCCCAGGAATCAGTATCTCTATTTTAAGAAAAGGAAACTAAGGCTGAAAAACACATAATGCAGATTTTCTGACTCCAAAATACACCACAGTTTTCTGGCCCCAACTCCCTCACTATGGCTTTCTCTCTGCCATTAAGTATTAAGTTCCAGGTCAGGGTTTTGGGGTCTACCAAAAAGTTAATGTGGACTTTAGGTTTAATCAAATATGCTTTATTAACTTATATCACAAGTAATTTTCATAGTTTAATCTTTTTCTTGCGAAAAATGCATGAGATATTGGCCATTGATTAGGCTTCTTTGCTTTATCAGGAGAAATACAGTCTCAGGAAAAATAGGTCCCTACCATTGAGTTGTGCTGATATTAACCTATAAGGACCGCCTTCTCAGTATGGGGAAGGACACTCACAGATGCCCTGTCCCCACCGCCATGTCCCTAACCTACAGATGTACCAAATTGGAATCCTTCCATCACATCTCATTCTGGGTAAGGATCCTTGAAACGAAAGAACCAGGCTCTCCTCTCCCTTGTCACTCCCTAATTCAAAGGAAATACCTGAAACCTGAGGGTAGAAAAGAGAGATAAGAAAAAGAGAATATTGGCGGGCGTGGTGGCTCACGCCTGTAATCCTAGCACTCTGGGAGGCCGAGGTGGGTGGATAGCTTAAGGTCAGGAGTTCGAGACCAGCCTGAGCAAGAGCGAGACCCCCATCTCTACTTAAAAAATATATAGAAAGAAATTATCTGGACTAAAAAAATATATATAGAAAAAATTAGCCGGGCATGGTGGTGCATGCCTATAGTCCTAGCTACTCGGGAGGCTGAGGCAGGAGGATCGTTTGAGTCCAGGAGTTTGAGGTTGCTGTGAGCTAGGCTGGCGCCACGGCACTCACTCTAGCCAGGGCAACAGAGCCAGACTCTGTCTCAAAAAAAAAAAAAAAGAAAAAGAAAAGAAAAAGAGAATATTTCCCAAGCTTTTTAAAGCATCAAATCATGATGTGTTTCATCTCTGCCAATTTACACAAAATCAACCTATGAAATTACACTTAAAAGTCAAGGGTTGGAGTAGGGACCTTTGCAAATGAGGGTGCTCTGTGACTTAGGTGGGTCCTGTTCTCATGGTCAGAAAGAAAAATAAAAGGGGAAGACTAAGATCAGACTTGAAATATCTTATTTAAAAATAATTTTTAGGCACGGCATGGTGGCTCATGCCTGTAACCCTAGCACTCTGGGAGACTGAGGCAGGAGGATCAATTGAGCTCAGGAGCTCGAGACCAGCCTGAGCAAGAGCAAGACCCCATCTCTACTAAAAATAGAAAAATTAGCCAGTGTCATAGTGCATGCCTGTAGTCCCAGCTACTCGGGAGCCGGAGGCAGGAGGATCGCTTGAGCCCAGGAGTTTGAGGTTGCTGTGAGCTGCGATGACACCACTGCACTCTACATAGGGCAACAGAGCGAGACTCTGTGTCAAAAGAAAAAAGTTATTTTGAATGCAGGCCACTTGACTGGTGGGGGAGGGGCCTGCAAGCTATAAGAGGTCGGAAGTGGCAAAGCCATCCCGGCGAGCGGCTCTGGGAGGAAGTGGGGCAGAGCGGTTTTGAGCAGAGCTTTGGAGTCACACAGAGCTGCTCGAGACTCCTGGTGCTGCCACTCACCCGCTGCATGGGCTGGAACTTGCCACATCAACACGCTGAGCCTCAGTTTCCTCACGTGAGATGGGACTCGGTATAACGTGAGCCACCTGCACACACGTGCTGAGATAGCACACACGGTGCTCAACTGGGCGCCTGGCGCGTCTGAAACGCGGAGGCCTTCACCGTCAGGATGCTCAGGCCCCCCTGCCACTCATCCTGAGTCCGTCACACCGGCTTCTGCGGCCCACGTAGCCCGTCAGGATAAAGTAAGACAGACTGGCATCGCCACGGACGGAATGTTTGAGTCTCCCCAGAATTTCGAAATGTTGAAGCGTAATCTCCAATGGGATGGTGTTTGGAAGTGGGGACTTTGGGGGCGATTAGGTCATGAGGGTGGAGGCCTCATGAATGGTCCATCTCTGTCTGCCAGGAGCAAACAGCAGGAGACGGCCATCGCCAACCAGCACCCGACCACGCTGGCCCTGAGGTCGGACTTCCCAGGCTTCAGAACCGTGAGAGGAATTTCTGTCGTTGAAGCCACCCCGTCGATGGTATTCTGCTACAGTGGCACAGACTGACTGAGACAAGGGTGAATTATTCGACCACTCAAATCAACTCTTTAATGTCAACAAGAGGGTATTTAATGTTGCTATTTGGAACAGTTAAGAATAGATATACACTAGTCTACAAAATAGCACTGCAAGTTTTGAAGTGTAAGAAGCACGTCCGCGTCTAGGCAGGCAAAAATAAACATCTGCTCATGCGAGACACGGATTCTGCCAAGACGGCCTATTCTCGCCTTCCCTGCAGGGCGGGGGGTTCTGCCTGCTTCTCCCAGCCGCTGGCCGCTGGAAGCCGGCTCCTGTCTTTCTCTCTCCAGTTCAATTCAACACAACTTTGGCCACATTTCCTTCCCTGGGCTGGGCCCTGGGGACACTGGGCGGCTAGCACACGGGGCTACCTTCCAGAACACGTGGTCTGGCTGACTGGCTCGAAGCCTGCGGGTCCCAGCCCTGGGGAGGGTTCACCCACACATTCCTGGTCTCCGGGCTGAGGGTGCCACAGGGAGCCAACGGGAGAGGTGTCATCTGTGTCCCTGTCAAGGTGACAGCAAAGGCACCTGACTGTGCCCTCTCCGGCCTTCCCTTGCTCCTCCGCTCCCACACGGAACCCCCTGCTCTCTCCTCACTTAGAATCAGGTACTGGGCCCTTCCCACGCTCAGATACCCACCCCCCATCTCTCCTCAACAAGAAGAAAAGCAAAGCTTGGGGACAGGCGATTTTAGTGAGTTGAAATTCATTCTTACCGGCATGTTAAATACCCTTCCACCACAAAGACTGGCCTTGAAATCTGTATTTGTTCCTTAAGACTCTGTGGGGTGGGGGAGGAAGAGGACGGGCTATCAGAGGACAGGAGCTCCCGTCTCCTCCCCCGCCTGGTCAGCTTTCAAGCCCCCAACCCTCAGGACGCACGATGCCGAGGGCTGCAGATAGGGGCTCAAGGGACGCAGGGGACACAGAGGCAAAGGCCAGCCTGGGACTGGAGGGCTGGTGTCCAGGCAGGAGCGCCAGGGCCCGCCTGTCCGGCTGCGGGCGACAGGAGAGCGAGCGGAAGGAGAAAGCCGCGTGGCTGAGCGCGGGGCTGCTTTCTGTACCCATCACAGCCATGAGGCGCTGACCACACAAGGACACAGAAAAGTTGGTTTGGTTACATCAACACAATTCTGATCGTAGTCATTTATGCCAGCCGCCTTGCCGTTTGCGTGTAATGGCCACATCACCCTCCAAAAATGATGTACCTTCATAAACGTGGGTCAGTGTTTCTAAGTTGTATTTATTTGATTAGGGTAGTAAACGAGACGTACGGTGCCAGCCTTACTAGCACTTTCTTCCTCGAGCTACAGAGTCCTCTGTTCTCGACTGTAACAGATGATCTACTAGCTAGAACGGGGTTGGAGGGGTCTCTGTCTGTGTCCCTATTTATTCAGCATTTCCCCTTAACAATTTTGTTATCTCAGCAATTGCTATATGACTTTCCTATTCCCTGTGCTCAGAATTTATGATTTTTTTTTCATTCCAGTGATTCACATTCATGAAATTGTAAAGGCTACAAATTCTACCTTTTTTCCCTTACACACATGTATATGTGTAGACACCCTCCCAATTATTCTGATTAGATCCTAAGATTAATATGTTGCCATGCCAGCTCAGTTGAGAGCTCGAATGAGGACAAATTTGTCAAATTTACCATCGTACAGTACTCTGAGCCTGCTCTGTCCCAAGACTTGGGAAAGATGGAGTCACGGTGGCAGAGGAAGCAGGCAGGGGCAGTAGCTCCCGAAGTGGAAGAGACTCCGGGCTCTGCTGCTACTGCTTGGAGCAGTCTGGTTCTCTACCTGAAAGACTTTGCTTCGGTCTGTCTTGGGGAATGAGACAGTGATACTTAGTGTACAATTGGAGTTCTTTGAGTGAAAGGTAAAATCATAAATAAATTGCTTTCTTGTAATTACAGAGAAATATAGTAATAACTTTAAAATCATTAGGCAGTATTAGAATATTTTATATACAACTCTAAATAAAAGGTAGTTAGAAAATGAATTGCAAGGATCAGTTTATGGTCATTTTAAAATTTAATTACACAGTAAAATCTAGCAGGCAAGTGGTTTCAACAAAATTACTATTTCAGGCAAAAATAACAACGGCACAAACATATGACAGAGCTCTACAAGGTCGTTTCACTCATACAGCAGTTTGTATTTTCTAGTGTGTAGGAAAAGATTTTCCAAGTGCGAAAACTAACTATATACAAGAGCAATACATTTTGTTATTATTAAAATAAAATGTGTCTTTAAATATATAATTTTTTTGAAAATTCACTTTGTTGTCCAAAATTATAGAGAGCATTTTAATTTTTTATGGTTTCTCGTTTTTCTTGTTTCGTCTATTCTTTTGAGACAGGGTCTCCCCCCGTCGCCCGGGCTGGAGCGCAGTGGCGTCGCCGTAGCTCGCAGCGGCCTCAGACTCCGGGTTCCAGCGTCCTCCTGCCTCGGTCTCCTAAGCAGCCAGGACTACAGGCGCGTGCCGCTGCACGCCGGCGTATTTCATTCTTTTAATGAAGATGGGATATTCATTACAGCTTCCCACTGGATTTCCCAACGGACCGCAAGGCGGCCATCTGCAGAGTGTAGCAGCCACGCCTTGCAGTAACTGCGTCCAAAAGGAAGCTCTGCTCCAGCCGCGCCCAGAAGGCGCGCCGACCCCTCCTGGCCCGCCCGCTCTGCCTCTGCGCGCTCACGGCGGGTGCGCCCGTGCCGGCGAGGCCTCCCGGGCTCAGAGGATCTTACACTCGTTCATGGGGAAGAGCCTGCGCCGGCGGCGCCGCCGCGCCTGGTTGACGGCGGTGCGCACTGCGCACTCGAACACCTGCTGCACGCCGCGGTTGCTGAGCGCCGAGCACTCCAGGTAGCCCTTGGCCCTCACGTCCTGCGCCAGTCTCTTCCCGTCGACGGCGTTGACGCAGGCGGCCCTGTGCGGCCCCGTCTCCCGCTGGTCGGTCTGCGTGGCCACCACCAGCACAGGGGTGCAGGGCAGGTTGCTCCTGACCTCCCCGATCCACTTGCTCTTCAGGTTCAGGAACGAGCTCTGGTTGGCCACGGAGTAGCACAGCAGCACCACGTCGGCCTGCTGGTAGGACAGCGGGCGGATGCTGCGGAAGGCGTCGTTGCCGGCCGTGTCCCAGAGGCCCAGGCTGATCTGCACGCCGTCCATGAAGACGTCCACGCCCGTGTTCTCGTACACCGTGGGCTTGTAGGCCTCGGGGAAGGTCTCGGAGGTGAAGCGCACCAGCAGAGAGGTCTTGCCCACGGCGGAGTCGCCCACCAGCACGCACTTGATGGAGCTCAGCATCCTCCTCCCGGCCGCGCCCTGCCAGGCCCGAGCCGCGACGAAGACAGCGCTCAGCGGGCGGCGGCCGCACCGGCTGGCCTTCGCGGGACACCGGCGGCTGGCGCGAGGTCACCTCTCCCCATGCACCCGAGGGACGTGCAGCCCCTACTGCGAAACCTCCAAAGCGGAGTCGTCAACTGCAACAGAAGGAAAAGGGGGAAGGTGAGCCTTTCCTTTTGCCTCTTTTGAGCTTCCTCACTGTCAAACTGATTCAGTGTGGGCCCATCCCAGGGCGGCCGTCCACTCCCGTGTGTGCGACCCGCCCTTCCCCGGGCAAGGACAGCTTAGCCTCTCCCCCGGACGCGTGCGCCCACAACGCCTCCTGGTCAAGAGTTGGAAGCCGATTCTATCTCTGCAGTCAGCCCAGTGACAAAAATGCAAGCAACCGCTCTGATGGCAGCACGAACAAGACCGCAGCGGCACCTGGGGCGTGAAGGATTCGGTTGGAGCAGCTCCCCGCTGCGTTCAGCTCCTGCTCCAAGAATGGGGAAGGCGGCTGCGAGCACTCTCTGCACCTCCAGTGGATTCCAGCCACCTTGGGAACTGCAAGAAAGAGACGTGTACTGAGCGACAGATGCCATATGCATTTCCTTTCATTTATTGATTAACCATTCAGTCTTGGTTTATGGGGGAATTTGTGTTGAGGTAGCAGAAATCACAAGAACTCCAGAAATTTGCTGTGGTTTTTTCCCTTGAGTTTTTTCCAAAAACTGGCTACAGATGCAAGGGACTGGCCTTGGAGTTATCTGCGTCTGCACTTAGGGTCCGTCACTTACACAATAGCGTGGTTTGGGGACATTGCTTGGACTTCACACCTCAGTTTACACATCTGCAAGACTGTGATAAATTTAGGAACCACTTCTCAGAGATGTTGTGAGGATCAAATTCTTTCTTTCTTTTTTTGTATGGCCACCTGTTTATCAGAACTCTGCTAGGACTATGGTTAAACAGAGTAACTTGCTTGAAAGCAACCGTATTCAGTGATTGTCACTTACACAGCACTGCAGAAATATGGCAGAACCTGAATTTCATGAAAGCACCAAATATATTCTCATCCAGTGCAGGTGGCAGACCAGGCGGTGACCTCAGCCGGGCATTCTCCTGTCTGCCGCCGCACAGCATCGCAAGGCCAGCCCAGCTTCAAAGGAAAGGTCTTTCAGACCAAAATTCATACTGAAAGTTATTAATTAAATCTGGGCTTATAACCACCCGTTGGCGATCTTCCTGACATGCGACATGTAAAGCAATAAAAAGCAAATCTACAGGTCTGCTTCAAGACATAATTTTTAAAAATTAGTCCTCTACATCCTGATATTCCCTTCCAAGACATCTTTATACTTGTCAACTCACAGTCTCTGTTAGTTTAGTTATAATAGCCTTTGCAAATGAGTCAGTTAAATAAACAATTCACGTGATTTTGACACATTCATGTTTTTAAACACATGTAAGCTGGGTGACCTTGGCCAAGCTACTTAACCTTTCTTAGTCTTAGTTTCCGCACATAAATGAAGATAAGAAAGCACTTTCTTCATATGATTATTGTAAGGATTTAGCATGTGGAGAGCCTGGCAAATGGGAATTATACGGAGACATCAAGTTATCTATTTTCATTACTATCCACTTAAAATACCAAAAATTGAATGTCCACAGCATAGGGGCTCGGATGCCAAACGTTCGGCTGGACTCTCTGAAGATTCACACTGGGTGACTCTCAGGCATGATAGCCCTGGACACCCATTTGTCACCAGACCCTTGGGTGCTCCATAGGATTTCAGTTAGTCTCATTCCTTAGACCAAGGGACCACTTAAATGTATACATTTGTGACTTAGTCCAGGGCCAAGACCTCTTAAGACATTAAGGTCTTTTTGTTTTGTTTTGTTTTGTTTTTTTGAGACAGGATCTGATTCTGTTGCCCAGGCCGGAGTACAATGGCCTGATCATAGCTCACTATAACCTCAAACTCCTGGTCTCAATTGATCCTTCTGCCTCACTCTCTCGAGTAGCTGGGACTACAGGTGCAAGCCGCCATGCCACCTATTTTTTTATTTTTTGTAGAGATAGTCTCACTATGTTGCCCAGGCTGGTCTCAAACTTTTGGCCTCAAGCAATCCTCCTGCCTCGGCTTCCCAAAGCGCTGGGATTACAGGTATGAGCCACTGTGCCTGGCCTTAAGTTTTATTTTGACCCCAGTGCAGCAGGACCAGAATTAGGAAAATATGCATGTGTCAGGCCTTTGGTTACTTAAATGAAACCTTTCTAATAAACTGACCGAGCTAAAGGCAAATTTCCTGAGTGACTATCTGCAACAGGAAGTCAGTGAGGCATAAGGGTTAAGAACACAGGCTTTAAGGTCGGGAGACCTAGAACTGCATCTGAGCTGCCCAACTGACTGCCTGTGTGATGACCTCAGAAGACTTTCTTAAAGTCCCTAAGCCTCAGTTTCCTCCTCTGTAAAATCAATGTAATAATATCTACCTCACAGAATCACAGGGTTCTGGAAGGTATTAAGTGTGTGAGCTTGGATGTATAAAACCCTTAGCAGAGTGCATAATATAAACACACTATAGTGCATAGTAAACACACAAGTAGTCCTTATTAATAATATTGTTAAATAATAATAACATAACGATAACTCACAATTATTCATTCTAAGTGGGGAATTGAAGTCGCACTAAAGAGGTTTCTCCATCAAAGGGTGCTCTGATCTCAATCTAGACGTGATCACAAAAAAAAAAAAAAGAAAGAAAAAAAGGAGAGAGAGAGAGAAGTTTCTTCTTATAGCATAAAAATAAAAATATTGGCCGAGCACAGTGGCTGACGCCTGTAATCCTAGCACTTTGGGAGGCCAAGGCAGGAGAATTGCTTGAGGCCAGGAGTTAGAGACCAGCCTGAGCAAGAGTGAGACTCCATCTCTACAAAAAGTAGAAAAATTAGCCGGGCATGGTGGCACATACCTGTAGTCCCAGCTGCTCGGGAGGCTGAGGCAGGAGGATCGCTTGAGCCCAGGAGTTTGAGGTCGCTGTGAGCTAGGATGATACCACTGCACTCCAGCTGGGAAGACAGAGCCAGACCCTGTCCCCCCCCAAAAAAAAAAAATTTAAATTTAAATTAAAAAAATTTTTAAAAATAAATGAAAGTATTATATAAACGAAGAAATTCTTGTCTGAGCTTTGCCACCCCGAGAGCTCCAAAGAGTCAGACTGGCTCTGCTCAATCAAGCGACATTTACGTGCCAGCCAGCTCTGACCCTGAGGAGCACATCAAGTCAGCGCCCAGAGTCTGTTTCCTAAACTGTAAAGCAGTTGGATGAGATCAACTTTCTTGGTGGTTCTATTAAAACTTAAGCGAAAGGGGAAACCTTTATTACCTGCCACAGAGAATACAACCTGAACCACGGCACGCGCCGCAGCAGTAAAGACGGACGCCAAGCCTGGGGACACGCGCGGCCTTCAGCATTTGCGGGAGCGGGGGAGGGAGGAGCTCCGGGCCAGGTTAGAGCAGCGCCCTCTCTAGACTTGACACATAATCTTCGGAGCGGGTCGCGTGCGCCCAGGGGTGAGGCACTGGGGATGACGCCGTGTGGGTATGAGGCTGATGGGCTTGACTTCAGTGGAATTTCTTCTAAAGGGAGAAAGTCTCCCTAAAAGGGCTTCTAGGTGAAAAATAAAGGTGGGTTTTCAGTGGCATCTCACAGTGGCTCCCTGGCAAGGGTGCCCGAGCGCGTCTCTTCATACAGGGGAGCCGCCGTGGGTGTCGCCTACGCATCCGCGATGGCCTTCCCCCACCCACTGGGCCGGGCCTGCATCGCGCTGGCCTTGCCGGACCTTCAACCAGAACCGCTGGGTGCTCGTGCCCGCTCTCCTCTCTCTGCCCGTTTCGCAGACGGTGCCTCCAGCAGGCTTCCACGCTTCACCCCGAGAGAGGCGGAGCAGCGAGGGGGCTCCTCCTTGCAAAGGCTGAGGTGTCGGGTCTTCCGCCCACTTTGTCAAAGGGAGGGCTCAGGGAACGAGGCGTCCTAATCCGTCTTCTCCTCTAGAGAGCCGAGGGCTGTCCGGGCGGTGCACGCCATTCCCCTTTAGCCTCAGCTCTAACGGCCCTGGGGCCGACGCCCTTTCCTCCTGGGACGCCTCGCGGACGCACCCCGCGCTGCTCTGCCTGCCCGGGGGACCTGCCCCTCGCTCGCCCCACCCCCAGCCCTTCTGGAAAGCCGCCTTGGCCACCTCCCCTCCCCCCCGCGGGTCAGGTGCCCCAGTGTGTTCCCACAACACCCTCCGTGTGCGTTTCTCCTGGAAATTGCCACACTCGGCTGAAACGGTTGGTCTTCTGGTGTTCGGCCCCCGTGCAGAACCGGAAGGAGACGCGCCCTACCGTCCGCACAGGGCGCTCAGCAGGGTGCGGCGGAGGCGACAACAGCACGGCAGTAATTTGTGCTTGGACTTTCGCAAGACTCGGCACGTTTGGAAATGCTGTCTTGTCGGTTCTGTGAGAAAGTCCCTTCACAACAATTCAGCATAATATAAAACTAAGGTGGAATCATGATTACTATTAACCAGTTATTATTATTGCGGGTTTGGGTTAGCTGGGCTTTGGGGGAGGTGGTTTACTGCAAAATGAACGTTCATGCAATCCACAGCTGTCTTTTTTTAAAAAAATGAACCCATGGCAACCATTGGCCAGGGATGGCCTACCGATTACAGAGAATACATCTAAATGTCATCCTCCTCAAAGACCTTCGAACAAAGTGCCTGTGCTGGCAGCAGCCAATTTGTTCATTAAGGAAATTGATTCTGCCACGAGCCTGACACACTTAGGTGCCTCGAAGTCGCTGTGCTCCCCAGCAACCTCTGTCCAGCCAGCGCCTTCCATCAGCAGCCCCTCCGCAGCCCGGCAGGGACATCACAGCAAGAGCAGGCCCTGCTCAGGGTGGGTGAACCCACGGGGCTCCCCGCCTGGCAAGGGGGGCCGGGAGCTTTGTTTTTGTCTGTTTTTTGGAGGGGGCAAGGGGAGCAATTAAAAAAATCTTAGGCAACTTAATAGAAAAAAGCATAACCATCTCTAAACTTTATCACTCCAAATTCTTACTCAGTTTTCATTCTCTAATAAATGTATATTTATATATATCTTCTAAACACTTTTTCAGATTTTCAAATTTTTAAAATTCCAACATAGTCTACACACTTGCCCGGTTTTAGCTAAATAGCTTTCCATTATTTCAACAATTCACAACTGCACGGCTATTCCTCATTATTAGCATAGTCTTGCGTTATTTCCAGTATTTCACCATAATTAACTATATATACGAGGGGTCTTCAAAAGTTTCATGGAAAATGCATATTATCAAAAAACTATTCAGGGATTTCAAAATTTTTTTGCACCAAAATAAACTAGTACTAAGTTGTTGCAACATGTCTGAGCAGGATCTAGTTTGAGGCACTAAGAAGAATAAGACATCAGTTTGAAAAGAGCCCCTATCAGAGCACCATGAATTCCGCCAAAACTGAAGCAAAAACAAACATCAAATTTATGGGGAAGTTGGGTGGAAAAGTGGTGAAATCACTGCTGCTTTACAAAAAGTTTATGGGGACAATGCCCCAAAGAAATCATCAGTTTACAAATGGATAACTCGTTTTAAGAAGGGATGATGCTGGGCATGGTGGCTCATGCCTGTAATCCTAGCTCTTTGGGAGGCTGATGTGGGAGGATCACTGAGGCCAGCAGTTTGAGATCAGCTTGAGCAACAGCAAGACCTCGTCTCCACAAAAAAATAGAAAAATTAGCGAGGCATGGTAGCACATGCCTATAGTCTGTACTCTGGAGGCTGGCGCAAGAAGATCACGGAAGCCCAGGAGTTCCAGGCTACAGTGAGCTATGATGATGCCACTGCACTCCAGTGTGGGTGACAGAGTGAGAGCCTCTCTCAAAAAAAAAGGGGGGGGGGATGTGGGGAGATGATGCTGAAGATGAAGTCTGCAGCAGTGGCAGACCATCCACATCCACTTGTGAGGGAAAAAATCAATTAACTAATCTTGTGCCCTAATTAAAGAGCACCAGTGATTACCAGCAGAAACAGTAGCCAACACCAGAGACACAGACATCTCAAAGGTTCAGCTTACACGATTCTGACTGAAAAATTAAAGTTGAGCAAACTTTCCCCTCAATGGGTGCCAACACTGCTGTGCGCAGATCAGCTGCAGACCAGAGCAGAGCTTTCAATGGAAATTTTAAGCAAGAGGGACCAAGATCCTGAAGCATTTCTTAGAAGAATTGCAACAGGAGATGGAACACGGCTTTACCAGTACGATCCTGAAGACAAAGCACAATCAAAGCAGGGGCTACCGAGAGGGGGCAGTGGTCCAGTCACAGCAAAAGCAGACTGGTCAAGACCAAAGGTCATGGCAACAGTTTTTGGGATGCTGAAGGCATTTTGCTTGTGGACTTTCTGGAGGGCCAAAGAACGATAACATCTGCTTATTATGAGAGTGTTTTGAGAAAGTTAGCCAAAGCTTCAGCAGAAAAACGCCTGGGAAAGCTTCCCCGGCGAGTCCTTCTCCACCAACCACGGCAGTGCTCCTGCTCGTGCCTCTCGTCAAACAAGGGCAATTCTGTGAGAGTTTCGATGGGAAATCATTAGGCATCCGCCTTGCAGTCCTGATTTGGCTCCTTCTGACTTCTTTTTGTTTCCTAATCTTAAAAAGTCTGTAAAGGGCACCCAGTTTTCTTCCATCAATAATGTAAAAAAGACTGCATCGACATGGTTACATTCCCAGGACTCTCAGTTCTTCAGGGATGGACTGAATGGCTGATATCGTTGCTTACAAAAGCATCTTGGACTTGATGGAGCTTATGCTGAAAAGTAAAGTTTATATTTTTAAATTTTATCTTTTAATTGCATTTTCCACGAACGTTTTGAAGTCCCCTCATATGCATGTGTAGGGGTGTGTGTGTGTATATGATATTATATCTACAGATAGGTAAGTTACTTTTGTGTGGGATGATTTTCTTGAGGGATAGATATATCGACAAACGTGGCGTTACTGGGTCAGCGAGTCACTTTGCGACGTTTTTTTTTTTTTACATTTATTGAGTCTCTTCCAGGTACTGTACTAAGTACTTTGCACATATTATTTATCAGCTGTTTTACTCATTCTAAAAAAATTTTGTTTAGGGTGTCCTGTGCGGCAGGCGCTGTGAGGCCTAAGACCACGCTGTGAAGCAGAGACGCTGTCTTCGCAGAGATGACCGTGGGAGGTTGGGAATCTCACCCAGAGCCACACGGCGAGGAATGGCAGAGGCACAGCTAGACTCAGATAGGGTGTGGCGCCAAAGCACTGGAAGCTCCGAGTGTCCCCCACACCGTGACTCCCACTGGCCCTCTCCAAGGCATCTCAAATAAAACTGCTTCCCGTGCAAACCCAGCTTCCAGACACTTTTCCTGGCCACCCCTTCCAACCAGGTCCCTCCTCCTAGTCTCTTCCTACAACAAATAAGCCAGTTCTTGATATTTTAAAAGAAGTCTGTTGTTTCCTGATCTGGATGCTGGTTCCACAAGTATGTTTAGCATGTGAAAATTCATCAAGCTGTATACAATGTATTCACATTTTCTGTAGGTAAATTAAACTTCAACAAAAGGTATTTTTAAAAATAAGCGTTCATTTCTCAAGTGGTATTTTCTCAAGTTTCATCTTGCAACAGTTCATCTCATTAATTCTCAGTCCTACTTCAATAATTCCCATAGTGTGATGCTAATTGCTACAAATAATCATTAAATTCTCTCTCAAAAATCACAAAAAGAGGGCCGGGCGCAGTGGCTCACGCCTGTAATCCTAGCACTCTGGGAGGC